ATCCTTTTCGGAACTGGCGCTTTCATTTGTCCAGTAATGTCACAGTTCAATGGTAGGATATTTTTGGAAAAGCTGAGGAATGTTTATGCAAGAATTAGTTAGTGAAACAGAAGCCATGCCTCATGTGTAGTATTTTCTTTGTCTTTATATTGGGGGAATCTGTTATCTATTCATTTTAAGCTAATATATGAACAAAGCAAGGAACAAATGGAATTATATTAATTCTTTGTTTTTGCTACTGTGATAACTACAAAATTAAAAAGTAGTAGTAAAGACAGAAAAAATGCCTTGTTACATGGCTGTATTTTACCTTTATGCTATCAGTAAGAAAAGCATTGAGACAATAATGTTTCCTCCTATTCCTATAGTGAGGACCAGGTGACTAGTTTGCTGGTGCCCTTGGCCTCAAGGTGCTGACGTTTAATGCCAGATCTGTTTGTGACAAGAGCACCTTCATCCACTATTTGGCGTTGGATGAGGCAGCAGATCTAAATGCTTTACTAAAATTTGGCTGGGTAAAGGTGACAATGTCATCCTGTCAGAAATCTGCCCAGCTGGGTTTTAGACTTTTGTTGATTAAACTGAATGATGAGTTTTTATACTCTGATTATTGGGAAGAAGAGATTTTTTTTCTTTTTCTTTTGAAATACTAGAGAAATTGTTAAGTTACTGAAGTTGTTTACAGTATCTCATCCAGAGAGAGGGGGGAGTAATCTTTTATATATTCTCTTTTACTTTTCTTTTTCCTTTCTTTTTTCCAGCTCTTTGCATTTCTCTTTTTCTTTTCTTTACTTATATTTTCTTTAGTTTGTATTAGTCTTTTATCTTTGTATATGTAAACTCTAGTAAAATTGTTATTAAAAAAAAGAAATCTGCCCAGCTGGGTTTCAAGTCCTTCAGCAACCTTAATGCCAAGGCCAGGGAGGGGGTTGGCTTTGATTGTAAGAAACAGGGACTCCATTCTTCAGGTAGTGGGTTGTGAGTGCCTATATGATTGCTTGGGTTGTAGATATTAGCTTGGGATCCTGTTGGTGTACCAACTACCCTATTCCCTGAGCTCGTGGAATTGGTCTTCAGGAGGGTGGCAAAGAACGCCCACCTTTTGGTGCTGGGGAACTTAACTTTCCTCCCCTGGAGGCAGACTCTGGCAAGGCTTGGGAACATATACTCCATGGCAACCATGGGCTTGTCTCAAATAATCATGGGCCCAACACTTGTAAATGGTAATATATTAGACTTTGTTTTTGTCTCAGAGCAGATATTAGATGATCTGGAGATGGAGGGGGTTCCATTACCCCATTGTCATTGTTAGATCATGCCTCGATCCATTTAAAATTGTTAGCCACTTTGACCTCCTTGGGGCCAGGGGATCTGTTTGGATAGTCCTCCCCAGACACATAATGGATCCAGCTGGGTTTCAAAGGGTATTTGGGGAATTTCTCAGCTCTCTGGTAGGCAGTTCTGTGCAGTGCCTGAATAACTGGCAATTGCCAATGGGAGACAAACCAGGCATTGAAAAATACTGGTCGTGATCAGCTTCTTTCTGGGGCTGAAAAGAAAAAGAATCTGTCTTACCATGTATTGTCGAAGGCTTTCATGGCCGGCATACGATGGCTGGTGTGGGTCTTCCGGGCT